TGGGGAAAAATTTAAATCTGCATGGCACTTTACTCCAATTGGCTCATTTGCTTGCTTAAACTCAACGTTGATTCTGATTCTGAAGAACTGGGTTGGGTGTGAAAAAGTATTTGTTGAGCCCTTTTTTAAAGTTGATCGTTTTGTGTTCATTTTGTTTTGTTCTTTTTTCATAACAGATTTAATGTTTAGTATAGAGGTTAGAAAAAATTTGCAGTGTGAGATAGGCAAGAAGTAAGGCATGTAGCAACATCAGCACGGCAAAGGGCACTCCTTTAAAGGCAAGGACAGGCAAAAATATTTTAATTTAAGTGATAGCAATTGCTGTATGAGTCATAGGATTTTTGAATCAAGCATGGGCAACACCGGGCCATGCTGCTAGTTTATTGATATAATTTTCATCATTTAGAGTAATATCCTTATCTATTTGGCTGTTACCACAACATTTCAGCTGTTGTATCCTCTGGTCTTCTTCAGGCATCTTTCAATCTGGGTCACCTTCAGGAAATTTCAAACTAAACCCTTCATTTAATCTATGGTGGCAGATTGTTTTCATTTTGCTATCTGTGTCTAGGGATATCTTGTTCTCTTTAGTTATTTCTTACCCTGTTTCCAATGAGTCTAAGTCTGTACTATTAACCTGTGATTGAACTCATAATTACTGTGCCACCACATTCATGAACCAACACTTTAATACGCTTGGCTATTGTCCCATGAGACATTCCTAAGTCTAGAACTTTGAGCCTTAAAACTAATATTCTTATTACCTGCTTGCTGTTGCACTTGACCACTTTTGCCGCCATTTCTTTTTCCTACAGCTGCCAAAGCTTTGCTGTCAAACTTGGCTGTTTCTACTATCATTAGTCTGACTATAAATAATGTGAATAATGATAACTCATCATCCCAGAAATTTAAACTGAGAAACTTTTAGTGCTGCCTTAGGCACTTGAATGGTTGAGCTGTCATGTTAATGACAGAAATTGTTTATATCACCTTTTAAAATTTCTCCCTATTTTTTTAATGATAGAGATACCTTTTCATTTTAGTACATAAGCATATACAAGAATATTTCTTGTAAAGAGTAAATCTGATCATTATTAATTTTTTTACTAATATTTCTTCCATTTTATGTCTGTTGCTTGTAGCACAACTTTGAGACTGCCATTCTATGATTGCTAATAAGAAGCAGAGATCAGAAAGTGTAAACCTTCAGTGAGATTCAGACTTTCCAACTCAATTGCATTACCAGTTAAATTATAAAGAGCAACCAGTTACTATCTATCTATATCTCTGGGATGAGGTATTATGATTATTTACATTATTTGGACTGTTATCCTCATCTTCATTGCCATATACACAATGTTTCAGCCAGTGATTGGAATTTCGAGCTAAACCCTTTATTTCATTCACTGGGGTGGGTTGTTCTAGTTCCATGTGCCATTCCTCTACTGGATGCCTCAGTTATTTCCCTTGAACTCAACTCTCCAAGTTTTTGGTTCACCATGTATTGAACTCACAACTCTTTGGGTCTAGTCACTGGATCTAACCAACATCTTTACCCATTGGGCCATATGTCCTTGAGGACATCTGTGTATGAATTTTTGGAACTATAAACCTAATGTCTCAGCAATCATTTTTTACCAGTGCTCATATTGTATTTTTTTTGTTATATTTTTTATCAGTGCTTATATTGCAATTTTTGTTGTTGTTCATTACTTTTCTCTAGCATTCCTTATTACTGGTTCCCATATTGTATTCATTTCTATGCTTGATCAGCTCAGGAGATTTTTGTAACCTAGCATATGTGCTGATTCCTTAATTTTTCATATTTTCCAGTGATGCACTCTGTCTATTATTTCAACCTCATCCGACAGAGTCGGTTATCTCCCTTTTCCCTTCATATGTGGTCAGCTAGGCTTGATTTTTCTATTTCCCCTTGTGTTACTGCTTAACAGTGTTCTTGCAATCTTACCTTAAAGGGGCGGCCTGTTTCTCCTTTGTATTTCTTACTACAGCTGCCCAGGATGGCATACACACAGTCCTTAGTCATGTTCTCCTCTACGGGAAGGGTTTACTTGGAAGAGGTGTCTGCAAAGTGTTGAACCACTTCTTTTGAAGATTGTGCTGATGTTATATGAGCCATAGATCCTTTGCATTTTCTCTGATAATACCTTCATGTAGGGTAGGCAGATTGAAACTGTTTTCTGAGTACTGTTATCCTTTTGTACCCTTCTATCCCAGTTTGTTGGAGCTGCTGCCATGTACCCAGGATAGTTGTTACATTGTAGGGTACTGTTTATACTGACCATTTCTTGTTCATATGTTTCTGGGTCATCACTTATGACTTTTGCTTGATGTTGTAAGCAGTAGACACTGTATAGATGGTGGGAGTTGAAGTTGAGGTATTGTCCAATGAATGTTGGCTTGTAGTATACAGATGTCTTGAACCCCCTGCTCTGTTTGAAATATTAGTGCATCCAGGAAGGTGAGTTGTCATTTTCTTGCTCCATTGTGAACTGTATTGATGATCTTATTGAATTCACATGGTCCAGTAGTAGCTGGACCTCCTCCTGGAAGACCTCATTGCGAATGGTAGCTACAGTAAAGTAAAGAAAGATTCTTCATTGAAAACAGAATGCAAACTGTCACAGATCCTAATCCAGAACAAGGACCACTTTGCTATTGTATCTAACATTCATGCTAGAGAAAAGCAATGAGCAACAACAAAAATTGCAATATAAGCACTGATAAAAAAAAAAATGCAACAATAATATCAAAAAAATGCAATATAAGCACTGGTAAAAAATGGTTGTTGAGACTTGGGTTTATAATTCCCAGAAATCCATACACAGATGTCCTCAAAGATAAAGATATTACTAGACCCAAAGAGTTGTGAGTTCAATACCAGACTAACAACTTGGAGAGGGGAGTTAAAAGGAAATAACTGAGACATCTAGGAAGAGGCAGGAACAATCTATCCCAGTGGATGAAATAAAGTGTTTGGTTTGAAATTCCAATCACCTAAAGAAGGCTGGAGCGTACAACAGCCAAAACATTGTGAATATAGCAATGAAGATGAGGATAACAGTCTGAATAATGTAAATAATGTAAACAATCAGTTACTGTAATTCAAATCCACTCATAAATCTTAATTCCTTATTTTCCTTGGATATTTCATATGCCAACATCTTTGTTTACATACACTATTAGCTTTAGTTTTAATAATACTTAAATTTCTTAGATGGACCACTGTCAATCATTATTAATTTTTGACTAATTAGATTAATAAAGATTGACAATGCTTAATCTAAGAAATTCAAATACAATTATAAGTAAAATTAGAAGCTTTAATAAAAGAACAGCGGAAACTGGCATTTAAGCATGATTAATTTTTGACTAGTATTTTGTTAATTTTTTTTAATTAGTTGTTTGTGAGAAAATAGCAATGGAGAATTCAAATCCAAAATGAGAAATTGGGATTTGTAATTCCAAAAATTATAAATCAGTCTCACAAGGCCAAAATCAAATATGCCGTCATAAATCAAAAGAAATCAAAAATTTGTATCAACAAACAACGAACAACTGCTTATTTAACCAATGAAAAACAGTGAATAATACTGCCGTCATCAAAAGTGACATTCTTTTACTGGGGCAAGAAAGGCTGTGATTGGTTCAAAATGATTGGTAAGCACAAATATTACCATAATTCAAGGCCTTACTAACCTTGATAACATCCCTCAGGGCAAAATGCATCTATAAAGGAAAGTTTTCCTTTTGAGTATGTGTGTATATATATATATATATATATATATATATATATATATATATATATATATATATATATAACTCTTTTTATTATTTAGACATTATTTTTATACAGTATATTTATTTATTTTTGTCTACCAGCCTGAATATTCGAGAAATCTTATTAGAGAAAAATATGCATTCTCCAGCAGCATGCAAACCTGCATTCTTTGAGGGGAAACCTTCATTAGATCTGATGTGCATTGTCCTCTTGGCTACAGAGTGTATCGATGATCAATCAAAGTTGAAAAGTGTCTTTAAACACAAATTCTTCTTTGACTCTTGAAATAGACATATCTGCTTAGTTTCATATCCTAACAAAGCAAATCCACTATAAATAACTAAGTAATAAAAATCTGTCAGATTAATAAATAAATTTATCCCCCTTAAGTCCTGTCACCATTATTGGCACTCATTCATGTTTTTGCTATATTTTCAGAAATAAATGGAAAATAACCAAATTTATATCATTAGAATTTTTTAAGTGATTGCCCAAAGTAATTTAACAAAACATTGTTTTTAACATACATGTTGTAATTTCAAAGAGGAAAAAGAAAGAATGATATGGGCAATAATAAAGGCACCCCTTCTTAATATTTGGTTGAACTCCCTTTGGCAGTGATGACTGCCTTCAAATATTTCTGGTAGCCATCTATAAGCTTCTTGCACTTCTCAGTTTGTATTTTCTCCCATTCTTCCTTTTCAATTTGTTCAATCTCTTTAACATTTTCAGGATTCCTTTCTTACTCTTTAATGTTTGCAGAATTTCAGCTTTTCTATTTTTCCTCTTACTGGTTTTTTAAACTTGTTTTATCATTTGTCGTTCTTTAACAATCATGAGTTATCAACAGATCAAAGCTGTTTCACTAGATTTGTTTATGGTACCAGTAGTACTCATCAAGTGACTTGACATAATTAGTAAATATGTAAAACATTTTGAGGTTTACAATATATTCATGAGTTTTAACCTTCAGCAATTTCAATGTAAATAAAAAAAAAAAAATTTTATTTGCAGTTTAATTTAACATAATGAAAATATCAGCAGTTTTTCTTTTTTGTCAAAGAGAAAAAAGAGAGAATGTTAAAAGAAACAAGTATTGCATTCCTATTACAAAGAAAATTCCTGAGTGTTTACATTACACATCTTTTATCTTCAACACAATTTGGTTTTACTTTCTGCTTCTTGTTTCTTTGTACAGAGCGATTGAGTGCTACACTCATCGAATCAAGTGGTTGCTGCAAGGAAGCAGAAAAGTAAGTAATATTTATTGTTAAATATCTATCACTGCTTTTTAACTTAATGGACATTCTTAAGAGCTTCAAAGATTTTATATTATTTAGCACAATATAATATAACTAAATCATATATATATATATATATATATATATATATATATATATAAAATAATTGACTGAAATGAAATATCCAAAAAGATAAAAAAGGATAGATGAAAACCAGTTGAATGTTGAACATTTTTATTTTCTTTTTGACATTTTGATACATTTACATAAACATTATCAAAACATAACTGAAAACTCTAAGGAAAATGTGTTACTATGGCAACCCTGCTACTTAAAAATGCTGTGGTCAGTTTAAAAAAACTTAACACCTAAATAATATATAATCATAAATTATATTTTTAATTGTAAGTATTCACAATTTTGTCCCATACATTTTTACCGCATACATGTTTTTCTATTCTCACCATAACTTTTTCTGTTCCAGCCAATTTACATTTTATTTTAATTTATTTCTAATGTACAAATCTAATTGATTTATTCATGAATATACTTAAAAATGTGATTAACTGTTAAAATTTTTCTAATTGATCCTAGTGATTTTATGTAGCAGGATTGCCATAGTAATGACTTTTACTTAATTTTTCAATTATGTTTGATAATGCTCTCATGAAAAATACAAAATGTCAACAAGGAAATAAAAATTATTAATAACCAACTGGTTTTCATATATTCTATCTCCTATATATATATATATGCCTGAAGATGATCTTGGAAGAAGATTGAAAGTACTTGGGAAATTAAAATAAAAGAAATTTAAACAGCTATAGCAATTTATCCTTTAACATCAATACACAGAAGGTTATTCATGAGTATGAACAGATTTTCTTAAAAATTAGCAGATTATCTGTAATTTATTCAGTCAGACATGCCTAAAAGAGAATTTACTGCCTAAATACACACATATACACACACACACACACACACACACACACACACACATATATATATATATATATATATATATATATATATATATATATAGTGTGATGGGTAAATTGTTGCCATTTGATATCTTTAATTTCAGACATCTGTATTGTTCATTTTTGATTTTGTCAACTTACCTGGCACAGGAGTTAACAGTGATCAGCTGAGTCATTCTCCCAGAATAAGGCTCTTTCATTGCACTCCAATTGGGTTGACCTTTGTCATCACTCCAAATGTAGCATCAGTTTTCAATCTCTCATTTGATGATTAACTTATGCATGACACTCAGTTGTTCTAATGATGAGGAACAAAATATATATTTATTATTGGTTTAAATTTTAGTTTTGATATTATACATCGAGAACTGTTTTATTATACCAGCACTCAATTTGTGCTACTTTATATATATATATATTAAATGATATGAATTAATTAAATTATATATATATATATATATATATATATAATTTAATTAATTCATCGAGTCTGATAGAAACCTCAACAGAATGCAGAAAGCACTGGATGGCCGTTTCGTCCTATATTTGGGACTCATCAGCAGTGCGCATCCACTACCGAGAATTGAAACCCTGACAGTTAGGTTGTCAAGGAAACATCATACCAACTGTTCTAATGGGCCTCGGTGACAAAGAGATTGTAATATAATTATCAAATCCTCCTAATAATTATTATCTGTATATATATATATATATATATATATATATATATATATATATATATATATATACATGCCACACAAGGTCCCCCCAAAACAACCTCTGCATATTTTGAATTCAGAGTTGTCCTTCTCCTAGACCAGTTGTCATCCAAGGCTATAGAGCCCAGTCTGTCCTGCTATTTACCCGTGGCTGGAGGGAGAAGAGGATTAATACCTTTCCCAAGGGTGTTAGCATGTAAGTGAATGTAATGGATTCAACTGGAATTCGAACTTGGCTCTCTGATTCCTTAATCCAAGCTGCTAATTAATGTTAATTACTCCACTGTGCATTAGATATCTTTATTTGACCCTCCAAAAAGTGTGGTTAGTTCTGCATTAAACCATCACCACTATAATCAAATCTTATGTGCTTTCTATATATATATATATATATATATATATATATATATATATATATATATATATATATCATTCTTTTCACCCAGAAGTCTCCCTTGTAGAGTATAGGGCTACAAACTTACAAAGCTGGAAGTTGCATAGCAAGTAGTTCTTTACAGGATGGAGTAACTAACCCCACACCTAATGTAAGTTCTATTCTAATAGTTTCTTCTCTCATCTGTGGAACTCTCTTCCAATTTCTTGCTTCCCTGCTACCTACAATCTTCAAAAATTTAAATTCAATGTCAATCAATCATCATCCTCAGTCTTCCTGAATCCTGTTCTTTTATTGTCTTTCTTCTCACTAGTCTTCCCATTCTCTTTCTCTCTCTCTCCCAGTATATCCTTGCATCCTAGTAGTATTATCATTTTGCTTGAGGTGAAATGAGTAAAAAAAAACAGTTTTGAAATCAGAATTTTTCTTCTAGTCTGGTTGCCAACCAAAGCTAGAGAAGCAGTCTACTCTACTATTGATTCCTTGCTGAGGGAGAAGAGACAAACCTTCCCTAACTATTTGTGTTAAAGCAAAAGGCCATGGCCTGAGTTGGAATTGAAACATGACACATCAATTACACTTTCCTTGCTGATAACTGCTACATTGCACACACATTGTAACCAACTTTGCATAACTTACAAATTTTAAGAAGTGGATTGATTAAAATATCTGTTTTATAGATTTACAATATGGCAATTGTTTTCAGATTTTACAGTTACCTGAATATAAACGGAAATACTAAAAAATTAGACAACTACTTTATAATGTATAACTCCTCCCTTCAACTGAATAATGGCAATATGTAATATGACATGAAGTCTTCATGGGGCTGGAGTTGCTGGGAGGGTATTTCTGTCCAAGCATGGTCCAGGGCTATCAAATAATTGAGTTGTGTTTGTAACATATGGCTACAGAGAATTAAGTGTGGTTTTCAACATGTCCCATAAATGCTCAATGGGGTTTAAATCTAGTGTGTGCTATGAAGTATGAAAATGTTTGTTTTTTTTTTCACTTCACTAATGGTTTGGATAGATGAAGTCCAATTCAACTGTTGAGGCCACAGGAAGTTATTGAAAGTTGAATTAGTTTCTGAACTTTATGACCTGCATTGGTGCCAAACAATTATATTCTTGGGGTTAAATCTGTATGTGGAGATAACTTGGGCCAAAATAGATTATAGGATAGTTGATGTTGATCTTCAAGGTCACTGGAGGTCAGCAGAGGTTTATTCTGGATTAAAAAAATCTTTTTTTAAAGACAAAAGAACTTAAAGTGCAAAAACAAGTTTTTTATTGAAAATGTGTAACCCTGAAAACATGCTTTATGAACAAAAATTTTAAAATTTTCAAGATTAAATTTGTTTTTTTTTTTCAGCTGTAAAAAACGTTATTCCAAAATTACATAAATGACCAGTGGTTCTGTGAGTAAAACATTCTTAAAATAAAATTGAAGAAATAAATTCAAAGCTGTTGCAACAAATTCCTAAGGAAATTCAGCTCTACAGGTCTACTGACACAATTCAAACACATCTGATGTCGTTCAGAACTCAAATCATTTCCTCCACTCTCCTAAGTTGATTGATGTTTCTCCTCACAGGCTTCAACTAAAATTTGAGATAATCTTCATGCTTCTCAGAAATCTTAACCCTCCAAAATTGTGTGGCAGAACATCTAGCTGTCAGGCAACTTCTCTCATCATGTCATCAAAGCAACTACCCTAATGGGAGTAAGAAAAAAAATAGAGAAATATTTTCATTCTGCCCAATCTCCATAATTCCAACACATTTGTCATGTGAATTCAAGAGACTTCAGTTTCCAGTGAAGCTCACCTTTGCCATGACCATTAACAAGACATTAGGGCAATCTTTAAAGATCACCAGCATCTAATTTTAGTGTTCAAATTATTACTCATAGCCACTGACTTAAAATCTCCTATCCCCAGCTATGAGTTAACCAGTATAACTTGTATCTGAAAAAATAATTGTTATTCTAAAAGAATATTGTTATTGTGACAGTCACTCACAAAAAAAATCATTCTTACAATTCAAATTGTTTCAGCTTTAAATAACCCAACAAAGTGCTGATAAGCTGTAAAAACAAAATCAATCAAACATCTCTGACTTGAAGGCCAGTAACCTTGCAACCCACTCAAAGCACTGTGGCAAAATTTTCATGCTGACACCCAATGAGAAAAACACTAATGTCATATACTAAGAAAACTGTCAACTTGAAGGATTTCATTTGTTTTGTGTTGGACATCAGAATATCATTTTCAAAACCAGCTACTTTTTCATATGTAAATAGTAAAAATAATTGTTTTTTTTATTTATATTGTGCAAGAAAAGATCATAGCTTTTCCCATGTTATATTTGAAGTTATTTTTTCCCTAGACAGTATTGGATGTCCCTGCTTGTAAGTCTATACATTATATAGCAACAGATAAATTGACAGATAAATAAATTTCTCTTTCGACTAGAGTCATACCTTAAATGCAATAGGTATGCTTTTATTGCTTTGGTACAGATTCATAATTCACATTAGTCTAACTACATGGATAAAATTTGCTTTTGAAAACTCAGCATTCTGTAAGATTTATTATTGAATAAACAGTAATTTATTTTCTTTTTCCACCAGGTATTTGGATTGGTGAAAGGTAAAAGGGTTATTGTGGTCATTGATTGTTCAAATATCAACACTAGTTATGGCCGATTGGAAACACTTCAAGATTTCTTAATGGTCAGTTTTAAATTTTGCTAATTTCACTTTCTACAGGACACATTAATTCCCTTTTAACAGTTATTAACAATAATAATAATTATTAGATTTACACAAAAGTTCCCAGTGCTGTCATGTTATTTTGCACAATGTCAAGGAAATCTAAAATATGTTCTCGTATATATCTTTTACAAGTGTTAAGTAAAATACAAAAGCTAAGAACATAGGTTCTACATAAATTTCAATATCTAAATACTTGTCTTTAACTTCTTGCTCGATATAGAAACAATCACTTTGTAACAAAATCATATTATAGTTCTGCTCATTCCTTAGTTAGCACATACGTTACACCTTGCAAATACCTCATAAATAATGGGATATTCAGTTTTAATTGTGGGGAAAGATGGAAAAGACATTCCAGAGATTAAGTTTGGTTTCAGTGAGAAAAAGAAAGAGAAGATAGAGGAGATGATAACATGTTCATGTGTTTTAACATCTGCTTCAGTGAAATGGAAAACCTTGTCAATTTTGAATCTTTCCATTTCTACCCTCTTACTTTAGATAATGACCTGTATTCATATTTATGACTGTTATTGCAATATTTTGTTAAAGTTAAGCTCAAATATATAACAATGCAATAGGGAATTTTATAGCCATGGAACTTGTAAGTAGTTTATTCAATCATTAACTCAAATAGGAAAACCATTAAATTTTTTTAATTTTTTTAATTTTTTAAAAAGTTTTTCTAGTATTCATTAATGGTGAAAAATGGATTTAATATAAGAATCCAAAATGAAGAAAACTCAGGCAAGATCTAGAAAGCAGCCAAAATTGAATCTCCCAGGGGGAAAAAGTTCCTCTTTGTGTTTAGTGGGATTCAAAGGAAATTCTTTATCATGAATTGCTTGAATTTGGACAAAATATTATTGAGGTGTGCTACAGTGAATAATTGGCTTTTTTGAAGGATGCATTGAAACATAAGAATAAACTTTCTCGAGCAAAATTCACTCATGATTTTACAGTATTTTGGAGGGATAATAATAATTTACTGATATAATCCCTACTATTTAATCCATAGCTGGGGAGAAGATGTAGAGTCATACCTTTCTGAAGGGTATTTGCACATAAGTGAGTATAACAAACCTAACTGGAATTGGAATGCAGTTCTCCAATTTCCAACTCTGAGTCATTATCCATTACACCATTGATACATCCAAGTTCATGACACCTGATATTTCCAACTGATCACCCATCTCAGTACTGACCAGGTGTGACATTGCTTAGCTTTGCTGATCAGACAAGAACTGGTGTATTAACATGATATGGCTGTAAACCTCAAGCAATCATGGAGGTGTGATGGAAAGCTCTTCTGCATACAATATATTCTCTTGAGCTCTCAACTAGGTGGCAGCCAATCTAGAAGAAAAAACTCTGAATTGAAACCTCTACTGCTTTGTGAGTATCTTAAGGAAAAGTGAAGGCTAAGAAGTAAACCCTACACAAAGTCACATTGTAGCCCTAAATGCAGATGGATGGTATATTGCATGACTTACCATCAATTCCTGCAGATGCACTGGTATCAAACTGTATTGGTTTATCCTTTCCATTGGACTCTACTGATAATGCCAAGAAGAGGATCTTGACTTATAGGCAGGCCAAGAGCCCTATTTTATTATGGTATATGAAAAGTATTTTCATTGACAGCTCTTTTTACTTTTTTTAAGCTTATGTAATGTCTTGTGATATCTCTAACTAATCATAGCACTTCCAAAAGGTTTCTGAAATGTTCTTAGTCATATAGTTCAAATCTTACTGTATGCATATTCTTTATTTGTGATCTGCATTGCTTATTAATAATTGTAGAATGACAGACTAAAACTTTTGATAAAAAGTAACTGAAATTAAGATGAAAGAAATTTGAGTCAAATATAATAATAATCTAACACACTTTTTAATAATATTACATTTCTTATCATCAATCTGTCTGATACTACTAGAAGACCTCTAAAAGACATACAGACTTTTCAAAAATTCTGTTATTTTTCATTTTTCTATTTTACAGCATCTTATTGATGAGCAGCTTTCCAAAAAGAGTGCATTGTATTTTACTGCCTTTGGAACAACGGCAGAACCTCTATGGCCTGTTCTCAGAGATGTCAATGTACGCATGTAGGTTAAGTGAAAAAAATTGCTCCAGCTTCACTTTTCATTTAAATTGTCTTCTACAAAGCTAAAGTGAAAGTGTTTCTTTTTAGAAAATGTTACCTTTAACATTCAAAGGTAGATTAATAAGTCTATGATGAAACAGTTTTTAGTTGAATGTCAATGCGTAATATTTTCACTTTTTAGTCTATGATATATATATATATAGAGAGAGAGGAGTTGAGTTAAAGGCACTGACAATGAAGGAGATCATGTGGAAAAATAGGTACCTGTGCTGCAAAAGCTTCTTTTTTCATCATTTGACTGCAGACTTATTGACAAGCCTATGTATAAGAGTTGAAGTTACCAATATTTTGATAACAACTTGAGTTTGTGATAGAGCTTACATGATACCCAGTGTGATATAGATAATGGTAAAGGTCAAATGTAGATCAACACAAGACACAGTATATGTTTGTTGACAAAGCATGAATGATGCTATTTGAGTCATGTTTGAGTTTATTGAGAACAAGACTGGTGGAGTTTAGAATCCTTCTATAACTGTAGATAGAATCCCTGAATGAGTGCATTAAAAATGATTGGTTATAAAATGTTTTTTTTTTTTTTTGTGTATTGAGTTTTGATTGGATAGGATTCATATCAAAGAATAAAGCTATTTTTCTTTCTTTTTTTTTTCTTTTTTAGTATCAATCTTACATATTGGAGAGTTATCCTTATCCTTCAGATGTTTATGCTCAACTCTCAGATCTCCATAAAGGTTAAAATAATATAAAATAAAACAAAAACTGATAAAAATGCATATGTGTCATTCTTTCTTTTCTAACACAATCCTATCTTTATTTTTATTATCACAGAATCAATGAAGCCAAGGACTGGGTCAATCATCTTCATCCGAGAGGAGGCAGCAATGTTTTACAGCTGGTCAGACAAATAGCAAAAGTTGAAGGAGCAGATTCAATTGTACTAATACTTGGCACAGAGTAAGTCTTAAGAATTAATTAATTGCTCATATGCTGACAGAAAATAAATTTGTAACATCCTGAACATGTTTCAGTTTATTCCAGATTGATTATTTTATAATTCCGCTTATCCCTTCATTCCTTAGCACATATGTTACACCCTGCCATTACCTCAGATAATTCTAGTTTGATTGAGAGGATAGGCCCGTATTACCTTACCTGACTCATGTCCATAAAACAGAAGAAAAGATATATCAAAGACACTGTTTGGTTTTAGGGGAAAAGAAAGAAAGAAAGAAAGGAACGAACGAACAAACAAATGAACGAAAGAAAGAAAAAGTAAATAGATAAATGCAATAACACTCTGGTATTTAATGTCTTCTTCAATAAAATGGAAAACTTCTAAATTTCAAATCTTTTCATTTGTACTCTCTTACTTTTTTAAATAACTTGCATTCATACTTATTTTTATTTCAATATTTTGTTAAAGTTGTTAAGCTCAAATATTTAATGAAACAATAGAGGAATTTCCATGTTATTTTATAGTCATGGAACTCACAAGGAGCTTATTCAATCATTAACTTAATAATTAGGATTCATTAGAAAATTTAAATTTTCACAGGTGCTGCTAGTAATAATAATCCAAGAAATTTAGTATAAATATTCACATATACAGATCAATATATGCAGAGGTCCCAAAATAAGTGATGTATCAACAGTACTCAGATGCCATATTGATACATTGAATATGCTTCTTGGGCATTAACACAACATGTCTTCATACATTCATGTGATTGTCCAGATAACAAATAAATATCATCATGGGATGCATTATTCCATGTCTCTTGCATATGTTGATGCAATACAGCAAGAGTTGATTCTTAGGACATTGTCCCATCATATCCCAAATATATTCAACTAATGTGAACTCAGGTATCAGAATAATTTGCCACTTCCCATTTAATGCAATTTGGGAGGGTTTTGTTTGTAGGGTTAAAATCACCAGGACCATGATTGCCTTGTTTTATGTTAAGAATTGCCCAAAGACAAGAATATTGTGGCACATCTTGCTAAAAAAAACAAACAAAAAAAAACAACAAAAAAAATCCCTACAACAGTGATCACAGGCCAAAAACTATGTATCCTAGGCAGAGGTCCAAAGAGTAATATACTGATCCTAGGTAGTTGATCCATATATAAATAATCTCATCAGTTTTTACAGATCCTATCCTTGTAATAAATAATATTGAACTATGAAATAAAATCCACTCAAAACAATCAAGCAAAAAAATTTCTGTAACCAGTTTCAGTTGTTATTGTAAGATTTTTTCAAATCATTTCACTGCAAGCAAGGCAATAAAACTACTGAGATGCAAGGAGTTACTGAAAGTGAAAAAAATCAATAAAATATTGAGTTAAGAGAAGACATTAAAAGGTCAAGAATCAAGGAGACGGAAGATGACAATTGACATTTAAGTTTTTGAAAATTTTAATTGACAGGAAATCAAGAAGCCAAAAGAATGTTTTATATGTGGGAAGTGCAAGAGAGGAAACCATCAGAATTGAATGTAGGCTTATATCTAAGCAATTTCAACAGTAAAATTATAAGACCTAGCTACCAATCTAATATTGTGCTTAAATTCATGAAATTGATGTATCAAAGTGAAAATTAGCATGAAATATTTATAGAAAAGGTACAAGAAAGCTATGTTATGGTGGTCTTGTGATGATTATTTTAATTTCCATGTGAGAGATATGGCTCAGTAGTTAAAGAATAACACTTCTCACTAAGAGTGCAGTCTTGGTTGCTGGTTGATAATATATGTTAAAAAAAAGAACTAGTTTAAGATTTATCAGAAACAAAATATTCTTCCCCTACAGATCATTCAATTAACTGAAAAAAAGGGTTTCACATTACATCTCTCTCAGTCCATATTATACCACTGGACAATGTGAAAACAGATTTATTTAACAGACAAATGTATCTTTGAAGCCAGAGTAAATTTCAGTATGGTGTGATTTTTTTTCTAATTTGAAAATATCTCCATATATAAAAAAAAAAATGAAATTATCTGTAATAAATTGGTTGCTGAGAATGGAATTGTCCATGTGATACATATTGGGAATAAACTGAGCCAATCATTATAACTTCCATCATTTATTTTCTGTTTGTCACCATTTTCTGAAGAAACAAGGACCTTCTCTTTATTTATGGATTGTACAACTGAAGAATCGATTTGTTGAAATGTCATAGTAACAACAAAAACGTAGTTTATACAACTTTTGAAATGATAATGACACTTCTTAGTATTATAGCAAGTATTTTTAATTCTTTTTTATTAGTCAATATGTTGACTTTTTAATATAAATAAATCAATAGGTAAGTAGTTTGTCCAACAACATTCTTCAGTTTCCTTCCCTACTCCCTTCCTCTTCAATTCTTCTCTTTCACATTTTATTGTTGCTAGGTTTTTGTGTCTAATTTTAATTCTTGTCCAGCACATGTTTGCTCAGCTTGAATAAAAACATGTGTACACAGTCATCATCATCATTACTCTTAGAATATTCACTCCAGTAGTAACTGATAATTTACACTGGAGATTAATTGACAACAAGTCATCTTGATAATCTGGATGCTTCCAACTTTTTGCCTGATGTCCATTTCCTCCAGCCATTTTTCTAGATTCTTTGGGATTATTCCTAGTATTATGATAATGATCAGCATGACCATTACTTTTGTTATCCAGAATTTCTTATCTGCCAAGGTCAAGATACTTATCTATCTATTCAATTTCTTTCAGGATTATATTGATCTGTTGGAACAGTGAAATCCATGACATGTTTTCTTCTTGTCTATGACAACTAGATCTGTTCTCCTGGCCTGGATTGGGTGATCTATTTGAATCCCAAGGTCCCACAAGATTTTATAAAATTACCTGTAATAAATTGTTTACTGAGAATAGAATTATCCATGTGATACATGTTGTTGGGAATAAACTGAGCTGATCAATATATCTTCCATTATTTCTTTTCTTTTTGCCACCATCTTAAAAAAAAAAAAAAAAAGGATTTTTACTTTCATTATGGATTGTATGTCAGAAAAAGGTTATAGAATGGATTGGCTGAAACATCCTGTTAATAACAACAGCAACAAAAAGTTCAATAGTTTAAATAACTGTTAATGTTAGCATCTTTTTTTGTATTTCCTAAAAAAGATTCTGATTTGTATGTATATCATTGGTTTGTATGGCCAAATGGCAGTCACTGTCACTAGGGAATCACCTTACCCACCCAGTTATCCCTATTGGATTTTTTATGGGCCAATTTGCTATATTCACTATTTCATATTATTTTGCACATAGTCTACATTTGCTGTCCTTTTTCCTTCTGTCTATCCTGACTTTTCTATAAATGGTTTTTATGATACTTATTGTTTTGTGCTACTATTAAAAGAGACTCAGTTTCTCTTTATATATCTATGTCAATGATGCTTACTAGCCCTCTTCCACCTTCTTTTCTCTTAAGCCTCTTAACATCATTTATCAGCGTTAAAACATTATCATTATTATTAACTTCTTTGGTTTTCTGTTTAGTACAACCTTTTATCAGGCCATTACCTGAGACAGGGTAATGCAAATTAGTAAATCTATGTTTTTGCTTGTACAAATTCTGGTGTTATCTGATACATAACATGTAGACTTTTTGTATTTTCTTTGCATTGGTGATATTCTTCTAGGTAGATGAGCAGATCTACAGTACAATTTTTGAATCTCATGTAAACGGGGGCTACTAGGTATCTTGTTAATCTGCTTGTCTGTACCTTTATTGATTGTATAGATGGCTGAAATTATTATAAGTAAAACAGTAATCTTTTTTTTACCATTTTTTCTAAAATTTCAATTTCAAGCTGCTTATATTTATTTTGTTATATTCTTTAACAGATATATTTTATCTAATAACACCATGTATATATCTATATCTATATGAGAAGGAATTTTCTTTTGTAGTCTTTAATCATTCTCTTTGGTCAGTTAGCTTTTATATGTCTGTCAGTATGAATGGTAAGGTCCCAAAGAACAGTAACTTTTGAAGAAGGGTTCAGGGTGAATGATGTTTATACCATTTTTCTGCTGCTAGGAAATTTGTCCCAGCTTTCCCACATTAAAGGGGTTGTGTTTAAAAATAGGGTTGAGGTTTAAAAATTTGCGGAAAAACGCAAGTAAAACATCAAGATTAAAGCAGACAAACTCTCTCTTTTATGCGCGTATGAATAAAAAAAAAACTCCTGCTTGGTGAGTAACAATAAAACAAGAAAGTGTTTATTTACAACATATACAGAAAAAAAAGGTAAAGGGATAAAAGGACGATTAGTAGAGAAAGAAAGGGAAAAGAGAAAATGTTCTTAACTTAAAAAGGCTTGCTCAAAATATTTCTCTGAGCACCTAAATAGTTCTTTAATCGACTAGATATTATTGTTAAGGTTCAGATAGATACACTCACAGTTCTTGTAGAGTTGGAAATTTGTTTGCAGATGAAGGAATCCTGCAACTGAGTGAGTTTTTAGGTCAACGACAGAAGTCCAGTGGGCTCGTCAGGAGTGGTGAAGGGATGCAGTGATGAATAGTGAACCAACATTCGTTTTTGACAGCCCTTTTTAGTAGTTCTTTTTTGATGAAAGAGGTGTTGGAGCTTCCTAATGTCGACCTTACAGACGGTGGGCAGAAATCTCACTGTCGAAATAGGCAAAATTCTCCAAATTTATGGAGTTTTGGTAGGCTCCAATGGATCAGGGACTTTTCACTCCAAAATTGTTGTACAAATTTCCTGGCCTATCTATTGGTCAGAAAACACATCTCTGATAAGAATCAGGGCCCTGGGAGCTGGTTTCGAAGGTACTGAAAACAGGTTGAAGTGAAGTTTCTCCCAGACTTTATGGCTCCATGGAAAAAATAATGGTGGTGGAATTCCTTTTTATTTTCCAGCTCTCTCCTTAGTCATAAAATATATTCTTATCTCTGATAAGAATGAAGGCCTTGGGAGCCGGTTTTGAAATTAAAAAGAGGTTGGAGTGAGTATAGAAAAAATAGCAAGAATGTGAACTTGTGAAATTGTTGTTCTCAAATTAAATTCCAACACTGAATGTGGCACACTGTAATATTGACATATTTTCCAATAAATATACTGCCCAATCTTATTGTTTTGATCTTTGTATTCCTTTGGTGTTAGGAGTTTTCTACAGGCAGTTTCAGAGTGAAGATTAAAATAATTTTTAAAATGTATACTAACAGGTAATTAATATTAGATTAACAAAGAAAAGCAGTTTAAAATTTGTTCACATTTCAATATTATTTTATTTGTCTTTGCTTATGAAAACTTTCATTATTTTGCTAATAGTGGGAACCCATAACTCAGATTTCTTAGCTTTTTATGTCCTTAATAGACATTCTGGAAAATATGCCAAGTAAATGGTCAAGGCCACCATAAACCTTTTAAGTAAATAAGACAACACAGTTGCCAATAAAGGCATTATTGATCTTTTCCTCTGTGAATATCACTACTAAACAGGTGCTTTGTATTAATGACATTGGATTCTTCAAGGAAAAAACAAATCACCATATGGTAAGAAATACAATAAACCAGTATTTAAGACACTTAAACTCTGCCCTTTGATAGCCACAGAAGGCAAAATAAAATATTTTTTGAATATCAGTAATATTTACTATTTGTAATTTTAACTTTTAGCTCAGTGGTACTTATATTGCTTGAAAGTAAGAAAAGTAACCAATATAATTGCTTATAGTCATTCCTTACCACTGCCCTTGAGAAAGGCATGAATCCACTTTTTTCTGTCCCATAACTAGATATCTTGATAAAATATCTCATTAATGGCTTGTTACAATTGTTGATGAAGAAGTGAATGGATTAGTAAAACTTGAACAATCCACGCTTCCACAAGTATTTTATCTGCCCAGGCAGTAGTATAAAAATATTGTTACCCTTGAAAGAGGTCTAATCCAATCTAAGATTTATGTCAGCTGTAAAATACAATGTGTTCATTTCTACTACTAATTCCATTTTTACCACACTTATTACCAAAAAATCATCAACTAGGTCAAAGGTTATTTCCAATTAGAACAACTTTCTTAAGCAATTGTTCTGGCCCTTTTGATAACCCTTTAAAGATAGCAATCTCTTATTATTTAATGTTCACAAATCCTGAAAAACTTTTTTTTTAATTCTTCATAAATTCCTTTTGCATAAACTTAGTATTGATAATTTTGCATCTTTTCTTTTTTCTTGCAGACCTGATCAGAGTTCCAACATTTTAATCGAATACATTGAGCAAATTTACATTGGGAATGAAATCCCTGTTCACAGTGTCGCTTATGATTGTAGTAACCAACAAACCAATGTAGGTAATCAAGCATCTTATATCCCTGTCTGTCTATGATTTTGTAAATTAAAAACAAAGACAAAAAATTAAACAAAAAAAGGATAAAAGTAACTCCATAAATTATTTAGCATTCAACCCACTAAAACCCACTCCATAAATATCGACTCTCAATGTTCAACTTGTCATAACCAACCCCATGTATACTCTATGATATATGACATTGTCATCACAAATAATACAGGAAGTCACACAAACTGAGAATTTGAGAGCTGATATTTACAGGGTCGGCTTAAGTGTGTTGAATGCTAAAGGGTTGTATTTTAATTATATTTCTCTCTTTATGAAGATGATCCATAAAACATTATTTAGGGTAATTTTGTTTTTTTTTTATTTTCATTATAGTTTTAATCCACTATCTTCTGCCTTTTTTAAAAAATTCTCTCCTCCCAGAATATTTTTATCTTTCTCAGAAAAGAATTGCTCTCAGTGTTTTTCACAAAGTGGAAGTATTTCAACTCAAAATTAGGTGCATTAGTTCCAACATATGTCCCAGTCAGGAAGAAAGTTATTCTAAGAAATGTTTGAGCTGCTCTGAGGGCTCCACAGTCTGAATGGATATATATAAGCACTTCAAACATGGGAACATGGAGTAGAGGCATCATATAAACATTGTTGTTGCTACACCCAGGCAAAGAAAAACAAAAGGAAATCATGAATACTCATCAATAATATTTAACACATATCAGTTTTGAATTTAACATGTACCAGTTTTGCATTTAACATGTATCAGTTTTGAATTTAACATGTATCAGTTTTGCATATTTGATAGAAGAGAGCCTTTGAAGTTCAAAAAAATTTTAAACTGATGCATGATTTAATCAGAGTCCCAAGTCTAGGTTTCTAGAATTGCAGTTGGAGTTCCCTGCACCTCCTACAGGATTTTGTGATTCTTTTGATCTCCTCAATAAAATAAAATAAAATTCTGTTTTGTATCACATGTATCATTCTCATGATGTCCAGATGGCACAATCCATTGTATAGATTTGAAAGATTTTCTTTGCCTTAAATAGAGTTGAGCATCCTCAACGATGAGTTCTCCTTACTGGGATGGTAGATGATATCAAAAGAGAAACAGGAAAGTTCCACTCTCTATCTCATATTTTAATTTTTTAACTTATTGTTTTTGGATTAAGTATAGTCAGTAATGAGTCTAAAATTACACCAAATCAGATAGTGCCTCTATTTTCTCAATGTTCCAACTATGGTATACAGATATAAAATATGTAGGTAATATATATAGTATAAGCTTCTGTTGGAGACTACTTGATTGACTTGCAACTCAAGAATGTGTAGAATATTGATATTAGAATGTCTGCTGCAACATGATACTAGGTCATGATTTTCTTTGGCAACACACTTGGACTGAAATCCATTTTGAAAGCTCCAAACTAGCCCTGGTCATCAGTGGACTAGTGACTGTCAATATTCAGCATTGTTCATTCTTTACAAATTAATATCAAATTGTACGCTAGTAGTAGCAGTAAAATCAAGCAATTCTTAAAGTCAGAAGTAAAGAAAATGTTAAACAAAGGAACCATCAAACCAAGGCTTTTATAACACTCTTCTGAAAATCATAAAATGATGTTGATCATTGATTAACCACTGACCATTGTCAGATGCTTAGTCTTTGCTATGCATTGAGATAGCCAAATATTGTATTTACAGCACTTTAAGTCAGAAGATAGACCTTACATAATATATGAAGCAGGTGAAAATGGATATATCAGATTGTATCATTGCTACTTCATTAAGGCATTCTGGTCATCCTTTTCATCAAAGATTCCTTCTCAGTTGTAACAGCTTCTGAGATATTGAATTTGATATACCATGCTTTAATATTTCAATTTTGGAGGTCAGAATGCACTCCCAAGGAAGAGAACTGTCAAGTCCTTCAGAATTCATTTACCAATTAGCATAAAAAGTAATTCAATATCTAGCAATTTAAAAAATAAATAAATAAAATAATAAAAAATAGTATCATTATTATTTTATTATTATTATTATTATTTCTTCTTTTGATTTCTGTAGTATACACATTTCCTTTAGGGTCCCAACCAGAGACCTAAGGTCAGAAATGGCTTTGTCACATTTTCCACTGATCATTTTTATAAAAACAACTAAAAAACTAAGATCCCAGACATTTTAAATAATTCGTGATGTGCAAGCTATACTTGTGAATGCAATTTTTTTGTATTTCTTTAAGGCATGGCCTACGAGGAATCCCTTCAATAATTTCATTGGAATTTTTTCTAATCAATCCAAGGTCTCCAACTACAACTGGAATTATTGATGTCCTTATGTACCACATTTTTAATATTTCCACTTCAAGGTTCTTGTATTTTGATAGTTTTTGAAGATCTTCAAAGATGCATTACAATCTGCAGGGATTGCCATATCAATAAGAAAGCACATTCTGTTATTGTGGTCTTTGATCACAATGTCTAGGCAATTAGCTTTGATTGTTTTGTCTGTTTGTATTGTAATGTCCTGTAAAATTGTTACAGGTCCTGTCTCTGTAACTGTGTCTGGGTGATGTTCATACCAATTTCTTGCAGGTTCTTTCTTGTAAAAGTTGCATAATTTTCAGTGTAGATATTGGCCCACTCTATCATGCCAAGTTTTATAGTTAGTGGGGGCTAACACTATGCAACCTGATACAAGATTATTATTATTATTATTATTATTATTATTATTATTATTATGTTGTAGTTGTAGTGGAAGTAGCAGTTGTAGTTTAAAGACAATCTCTTAAAACCTAAAATCAGATTAAACTGTGTTTCATGTATCTTTAAATTTTTGTTTCATGTATCTTTAAATCTTTGTTTCAGATCTTTCTGAAGAATATATCTGAAATGACTGGAGGTAGATACCACTGCTATGCTTCCACCTGTGAGGTAAACTTCCTTCTATTGTTCTTCTTAAAACTAACTGATGATTTATTGTCTAAGATTAATCAACATCTGCTACATTATTTTTTTAAACAAGCATTGAAAGTGTAATGGTGATCTTTAGATAGAAGAATCATAAGCAAACATTGCAGAATTATGAGAAATACTTTCAAAACAGGTTTTGAAAAAGAGTATAGAGGACATTATAATAGACCAGGAGTTCTCAACCATGGTTTTCAGGAAGTGGAGAGTCTTTTATTTTTTTATTTACAGAATTTATAACCCATCATAATTTTAAATTAAAACTCCTTTATAAATATAATCCATGATATATTTGAACTAATATGGAAAAGAATGAAGATTTTCAATAATATATGCCTATTATATGGAATGCACTTTTTGAGTCGGGTAATCTTGGAAAGTGGGTGGATGACATTCTGACTTATAGTAAAAAGGATACATTGGGCAAAAAAGGTTGAAAATCATTAAGATAGATCCTTTGTTCACTACTTCATAATATTGATAGAAATGCTATTGAATTATGACCAAACAAATTGGAAAACTTATTGTTTAAATTCTATTAGAGCAATAAAAACAGACATATTAATAGTATATTCATAGCAGAAAAGAGGGGGTAATAAAAATTATATATTACCATAAATTGGTAATTCCAAAATATAACAATTAAAAACAGCTAAACCAGTTTACCAGCCCTCTCTTATCAGAGCAAAAATGAAGGACAGAAAAGTGCACAGCAACTAAAAGATATACAATCCCAGACTAATGTTACCTACAAAAACAAATTAACATTAAAAGCTAATTAACACCAAGCATTCCTAGAGAGAGATGGTTGGAAGGACATAATATATATTGATTCCAAAACTGGTATTAGCCTTATTCATCACTGAGAATATGACCAGGCTATAAGATGGGCACACTGCTGGTTTTTAATTATATGCTCTGCTATCACTGAACAGGATACATTAATGCACATATATAAATTGTCCACCTTTCCCTTGGAAAAATTGACTGGAACATGTTGATTGGTCTGAGTTTAAATTCTCATTTTATTTTCTAAGCTTATAGAATGATTTGCATAAAATAATAGATTAATATTGAAGAATTATTGTAGAATGAGTGACCATGGTTAAATGTAAATAAATGTCAGAACTGCTCAACAAACAGAAGTGAGAAAGTTTGTAATAAACATAACAAATAAAATAAAAGAACAGGACAAGAAATAACATAAATCAAGCAAACAATATATGCAAGGCAAAGCAACAGTAATATGGCAAAAAGTTCACAAACTAAGAATTGGGGTTGACACACAAGAGTAAATTCAGATAAACATAGTGTTCTGACTTTAAGACAAGACAGACTGGGGCTGAGTCATATAAAACTGAAAACCGGTATATTTGATTGACTAGGGAGAAATCCCAGCATGCATTTGTGTGCTTCTGCCTATAAATTGGAGAGGGAAAAGTGTTTTGCAGTCATTCCCCTAGTTGGGTTAGAACCAAAAACTGGAGATCACTTAGTATGCTGATCTTAAAAGACATTAATTGTGAGATTGGATGTGCAGGTTATCATGTAATGATTGACAGCTCAGAATGAGAAATCTTTGAACCAAGTTCAAATTTCAGTTGTGTTTGTTACATTCAAATACATTCACTTTTGACAAAATGCTCTTGAAATATGTATGAATCTATCTCTGCTCTGATCTCTGATATGGTTGGTGTACTGGATAACAGTTTGGAGAGCCAATTTCCAATTCCAATCAGGTTTGTTATATTCACTTACGTGCAAATACCTTTTGGAAATGTATGAACCTACCTCATCTTCCTCTAGTTATGGGTTCATTAATAGAACTTGTACTAGTAATTCATTATCTCCTAAAATTTCTGTCTCTCAAAATTATTCTTCTCCAGTCACTACAATCTTAACTTCTTCAAGTTTAGGGTTAACAATTACCTATCCTATATATCCTCATAATATACACTTCTTACTTCATCTTTTTCTGTTCATACAACAACCTCATTCGATAACTTTCTACATTTTGAATCTTGGACCTCATACTGAGTGAACAAGAGCATGTAAAAAGAAAAATGCTCTCCAGCCTTCCTTGGGCGTCCATTGTCATTGAAGTTAGCTGTTATTCTGTAACAGACAAAACAAGAATGCATAAAATCTCAAAAATAGAAAACTCTTTAAATAAACATTTTCCAACAAAAATTTATTGGACAAGCAAGTGATATCCAGAAATTTCAAATTACTTATCTTAATACCTAGTTTCCACCATCTCCTTTGAAGTTGAATTCTTGGCTATAGATACAGTGATCTTAACAGAAGTTAACAGCAAAAGTCTGTACTACAATCAATTCACACACACTTTCAAAGTCACATTTTAAGAGAGTAGATGGGTGCAGCCAAGCAACCACCATTACTCAAAGAAATACCATAGTGACTTATTGATCTGCTTGGTTGTGCAACAATTTTGTTGAGTTATATTTTTCTAACAAAAATATTTTCAAAATTCCCAAACTAGTTTTTGTTTTGATAACATTAAAACATTGAATTCGTTAGCAATAGAAACAAAAGATTAAAGACTATTGTTCTGAAATCGGTGCTTGACACACACTCCACTCCTTTATAGAATAACAAAAAGATTTCTGTTAAAAAGTTGTTTTTCATCTTTTTTTCCAAAACAATCCTGGTTTCCCTTGAATATATTTGCAACATGTGTGAAATTCTGTAGCCATACTGTTTTAATTTATCTGTGTCGAATGATAGAAATAACGTCATTTAGGTGACAGATGACATTTGTCCTAATAATTTATATATAATAATATGCCATATTATTGGATGATATTTATTGTTTGTCAATAATTGTATATATTCATTGTTTCCAGCCTACCTGCTTCTTTTACAATTATATTATTTTGAGTTTTTTGTTTTGTTTTCCCATTTTTTACTGCAATGTTTACTTTCTGTTTTTGCCTATAAAAGTTTTAAAAACACTACTAAGAATGAATACATTATGTTATAATGTAAAATAAACATATTTCTAAAAATTAAGAAAATGTACAAAACTGTATATCTATCTCTCTCTCTTATATATATATATACACACACACACACATACACAAAAACATATACATATATATACATGTACACACACATATATAGAAATATTAGAAAGTTCTTGGTCTGACCAATATGGATTAAAACATATTCTTAGGTTTGTGCAGATGTTATGAAGTGATTTAAACCAAGAACTTTCAGCACCTCCTTAAAAACACACACACTCACTCACACTCACGTGCGTGCGCCCACACACAGGCACACACACACATATATATATATATATATATATATATATATATATATATATATATATATATATAAGTTAGTGCTGAAAAGTTCTTGAGCTGACTCATTTCAGAAAATATGACTAAACCAATACACATCAGATTTTGTTGGAAAAGGGCTTCTTGGTAAGACTCAAGACTTTTCAACATAATTTTACATATCTATCTATCTATCTATATCTATCTATCTATCTATCTATCTATATATATATATATATATATATATATATATATATATATATATATATAATTAATAATAAATGAAATAGTTAACTTATTTATTTTCAATCCATGCTCTGAGTTTCATTGAAATTTTTCATAATCCTCACCAATTTTTTTGTGAACTGAATTCAATTTCAGATCACATTTTCCTTTCTCTAAAATACATATTTCATTTTTATGATGATGTAGATTGTTTTAAAATATTTCTGTTAATTATGTAAAATTGATTGATTTTATATTAGATTAAATTTTGAATTTGTTCATTTGTAAGTATTAAATCATGTTTAAGAAAAAATGTTACAAGTTCATTGGAATAGTAATTTTCTTTTTGAGATTTGTTATTAATTTAAATTTTAACATTAGATTCATAATATTCAATTGTTTATACAAATTTGATGTGATTTATATATAGTAAAGTATTTCTGTTTCGAACGTGAACCTTTACAAATAGTTAATCTAGTGAAGGACAATTATTTTTAATTTATTATGTTTTTTATAAATATTTGTTGACAATAAAACCACAATACTTAAAATCATGGCTGATTCAATTTATATCTAAGTACAGTTTATATTATTGTAGATAGGTGTATAAAATATATAAATTAATTATAATTCATAATTATATATATATATATATATATATATATATATATATATTATAATAAAAAGAAAGAACAATAAGATATATAATCTGGGGTTCTTATTGATATCTTTATTTTTACAAAACAGTGCTCAATGTAAATTTACAGAGCATAAATATGATAAATTAACCGATTTAAAATATGGTTTCTTTGCTACACAGGAATTACCATGTTTCAAAAAACGAAGCTAAAAAATTCAAATTTAATTAAATTAAAAGCATTAGTTCCGTTTCATCCTCAAGCCAATTTTGGAATAACCTATTTTTAAATTTACTGAGTTTTAAATGCACATACAATTCATAATTCTTTGTTTCCAAGGATACAGAGAAATCCAATCATTTAGACAGGGGTGGTAGCGTATTCATTTTTATTAACTATTATTGTATCAATTATGAGTTATGTTCAAAAAAGAGGGATGGTAGAGGTGCATTTATCAACAAATTTTGACATCCATTCAACGCATGTTATCTGTTTTTTTTTTTATCAATGACAAAAAGTTTTTCAGCATTTTTTTCCATTAAATCCGTACTTGTATACTTAAAGATTCTTTCTAAAAGGGTATATTTGTGTGTGCTAAGAGAAAGAAACAGAATGAAAGAGAGAAATAAATAAGTTTGTAGCTTAATGCTAAAAATAGCATTGTTTCTTATACCACAAATAATTATTTTCCTATTGCTGTATAAGAGCAAGTGTCATAGACAACACTGTGATTTGAAACTAGATCACCAGTAAGTAACATGAGCAATTCCATTATTAAGTAGATCATGTGATCATAAAGGAAGTGAATAAATATGAAGTAGCATAAGGATCTCTCTTCTTGTCTATTCGCTTTTGCTATATGTTAACTCTCTCTACTCTACTACTATATGGATTATGATATCGCTTCTGATACTATTTGGTGATTACTACTTAAACAAGTATTACTAGTGCAGATATCAAAGTACTAGTACCAGCATCTACAAAGTCTCGAATATAACAAGCATTTTTAGAAGTGATAATGAGCTTTTGCTTGACATAGCAAAAGTGACAAGTGAAGCCATCGAACATCACAAAAGTGGCGATGAGGATTCACATGGATTCACAAAAATTCCTTGAACTTATGTGGACAGAAAAAATTAATCTGCAAAAAGTTAAGCAGAGTTCAACAGGAAAATGGAAGAATTAAAGGCCCTTATGTTTCAAATTCTGCAACAACAGAAACTACAGCAGGAATTACAATTACAGCAATAGAAACAGCACCATAAACAGCAGTTGCAATTACAATTACAGCAACAAAAACTTTTTGAGTTGTTTACTAAAACAATGGAAAAAAAAACTTCAGATTCATTTACTCCTGATACAGTCACTAATTCAATCACCAAGTTTCTGTACAATTCGGATGAAGGAATAACTTTCCCATCATACTGTAGAAGATATGAAGGAATCTTTAAAAGGGATTGTGCACATTGGAATGATGAGAAAAAAGTTTGGTTAATGCTGTGGAAATTATCCCCTGCTTAACACGAAAAATATGTAAATTATATTGTGCCAAAGAAGCCAGGAGAAATAGCTTTTGATGAGACTGTCCTAACACTATTGAAAATATTTGGAGACAGGAGTTTGCTGTTCAATATACATTGACAATGTCTCAATTTAGTGAAATCTGACAAAGAAGATTTTGTCACATACACAGGACTCATAAATCGGGAATGCGAAAAGTTTAAATTGAATGAACTAACTCCTGATCTGTTCAAATGCATGATGTTCGTTCAGGGTTTAACATCTAACAAGGACACAGAGATCAGATCTAGGATACTCTCTAAACTAGAAATGAATCCAGAATTAACTCTCCAGAGAATAGCTGAAAAGTGTCAATGCATTGTGAATTTAAAGCTTGATACTGTGAGGATTGAAGAAAAAGAAATTTCACAGGTTCACAGTGTCCAACCAACTAAGAGAAAAATTACAAACATTTTCCAACTCCTGATAAAACTATAAAGGAAGACTATAAAACCCGCTCAATAACTAATATCTGCCATGGCTGTGGGGGTAAGCATTTTAAAAAGGATTGTTTCTTCAGAAACAAGAAATACTTTGAGTGTGATAAATTAGGACACAAGAGTGCATGTTGCTGATCCAAAAAATGGAGAAGGCATAAAACATAAAATTAAATATGTTTTTGTGCAAATTAATGATGTGAAAATTAAGTTGCAGTTAGACAAAGGGGAGGTGTTGTATAAGAGTAAGTGTCATTGCCGACACTGTGGTTTGAAACTAGATCACAAGTAAGTAACACAGGTGATTCCATTATAAAGTAGATCACATGATCATAAAGGAAGTGAATAAATATGCAGTACCATAAGGGTCACTGTTCACTCTTCTTGTCTATCCACTATTGCTATATGTTCACTCTCTCTACTCTACTACTATATGGATTATGATTCTCTTCTGATCATTATACTATTTGGCGATTACTACTTGAACAAGTATTACTAGTGTGAATATCAAAGGGAAGGTATTACTACTAGTACCAGCATCTACAAAGTCTCAAATATAATGAGCATTTTTGGAAGTGATAACGAACTTTCACTTGACATAACAAAAATGACAAGCAAAGCTGTCCAACATCACAAAACCTATATAACCACCTTCGTTGACAATGCATTTAACACATCATATATCCATAAAAATTTCATATCAAAATTCAGCTAATAACTCCATCCGGCTATTGACTTATTGATCCATTTATATATATATATATATATATATATATATATATATATATACACACACAACCAAGAAATTCCAAAATAGGTTCTGATATTTAATCATTACTTACAAAATTGAACCCAAATCTTTCAACCCATAATAAGTAACACCAAATTTTCTTTCATAATTATAACCTAAACTCACCAAGTTTTCACAACATAATTAATTTGACTGAATTCATTTAATTCAAATGCTAATTGATTCCAAACATTTAGACTAAATATCTTGAGTTTGAAAATGGTGACCAATAGTTATAGCTAAATAGGTAGGGTATATATACATTTCAGTTTTGTCAGAAATGTGCCAGTTTGAGGCATCTACCCTTATGCCATGCTAGAGATATAAGCTATAAGTATTCACTTTTTGTGTATCAGCAATGAAGATTAAGGTATATTGGGTCATGAAAATACTTTATTGTATAAGAGGTTCAATCTATAATGAAAATTGAAATCTTTCACTGTTTGAGGCTTGAAAATTATAGTAAGCCTATAAATTATGAAGGTGAGCACCAGACTGTTGAAGCATCCTTTATACATTATGACAAATTAATAATAATGAATATCTTAATTTTCAATAATGTTACAGCATTGGTTGCTCTTTTTAATTACACTGTTGTTTTTATTTCAGGAACCAATATATTCCAGCACAGACATTAGTCTTCTCTTAAAAGAAGTACAGGCAGCACAAGAGACTATCAGTAAAATACAGGATATGAGACAAGGCATGATGGGAAATGCTTTAGTCAGTATCATGGATGAGGTACAGTAAAATAGTATTGTTATTGAATAGCAAGGTTGCCTGCCATTAGCAAGGAGCCTTTTACAAATATTGTAAATCGTCCATTTTATTTGTCAGATTTTTCTTTAAACATTACACAAAAATTTTCATTATCAACATTTGATCTTTTCACTATCTTATTGTTGCTTTTTTATCACAATTTGGGTGAAATATTCTCCAACTATTAGGTAGCATGAAATAGGAATAAAGCAGTAGTTTCCAATAAAATCTCATGTCCCAGAAACACATCTTTTATGGCTGTTGCCTTAACCAATTCAGCCACAGAAGCATATGACTAGAGAGAGTTTTATTGTCTTTGCTTTATTTAAAAACTTAATTCATGCCATATTGTTTGTTTCTATTAATTCATCTTAAATTATTTTGAATTCTGAGATGATGTATTTTCATTATTGACTTTTGACCAGTCTTTTTTTCATCTTATTGCTTTTTATCAATAATCTATAGGTTCAACATCTGCCAATGTTGTATAAATATCAGGAAATAAGAATAAATACTGCCATTATTCAGGAAGAATAAATTCTACAAATTCTATCAATGGTGTAAACAAACAATATAGCAGGAAGTTTTGAAGTAGGAAAGTGGTAATAAATACAACCATTACTTGGAAAAAAAGAAATAGTATCATTAATCAGGAGTCATAAATACTACTGTACTTGTTTCTCTGTAGTAGAAACAAACAATATGTCAAGAAGATTTGAAATAAGGATGTGATTGTATGTCTATAGATTTATGTTCTGTATAGCCATAGGCATCTAGTTAAATTGGTTAAGACGTCATTGATAAAAGACCATCTTCTGCGATATAGAATTCCAGTTGAAAGTTATTTTTTCCTACTTTAACAGTTTGAGGACATTCAAATTGGAATATTGTAATAAAAAGTAATAATAAAATGAAAAAAACTGATCAAATGTTGAATAATATTTGAAATATCATCCTCAGAAACTGATACTTACACGTTTTCTTCTTTCTCTTCATTGTTATCATCCTCATCTTAAAAGTTAATGATTAGATTTTATTATACATGATTTAGACACACGTTTGATGTACATGTGATTAACAGATTAATTTCTTTTTATACTAATTGTTATTATAATAACTAGATTTTATGTGTAATATGTGATTCACAGCAGGAGATCTGAAAGGTCTAACTTGAATTTAATGTCAATCAGGAAACTTGATCTAAAAAGAGTTGATCTGTGATGACCCCAATATGTATTTGAATCACCCTAAGAGATGTCAAAGTAAGTTTTGTACTTATTACCTCAAAAAGCCAAAATCTAAGGAACCTTGAATGTTGAGCTAAAAGGTAACTTCAAAGCCGTCATGTATGGAATCAGGCCTTGAATGTCTTGGTGGGTGGTAAACAAGTAATTGAACCTAGCTGAATTTAAGATATAGACATGCAGGATAACTGGATAACAGGAAGTTGCATAAATGACCAACCTATAAAAGGAAAAGGAGAATCCCTGGTAAATTTTCATTTTAACACCCGAGCGTCATTTACTGCTGAACTATTTTCTTTCAGAAATTAGTACATGTTTCCGTAAAGCGATTTTTTTTTGTACTTAATTTAAGAATAAAGTTAACTTTCAAATATATGTAAACATCGACAAATAAAAGAATAACAAAAGAAAAAAAAAACACTATTGAAACACAATTTGAAAGTTAACTTTCTTCTTAAAAAAAATTTTAAAAATGAAAGAATAACCAAAAAAAAAAACAACACCTAACCCTAATTAGAAAGTTAACTTTCATCTTTAAAAAAGTAAAAAAATAACCAAAAAAAAACCACCTAACCCTAATTTGAAAGTTAACTTTCTTCTTTAAAAAAAAAAAAAGAAAGATTAACCAAAAAAAAAAAAAAAAAAAAAACACCTAACCCTAATTTGAAAGTTAACTACAAGGAATTACTGTGAAGGGAGTAAGTAGGCCCAAATTGTATACGTCCACCAACAAAATTCAGCACTTAATTACTTATCAATAAGCCAGTAACATCCAAAAAGGTAGGTTTCTTTAATATCTAATTGTTGATTTGAGTTTAGCATATACATTTGCACGGAAATAAGACTATTTGGGAAAAATTTGAAGGGATATTAGCACTCGGGTGTTAAAATGAAAATTTACCAAAAATCCCTTGCTAGATGGAACATTCAACTGACATTAATTTGACAAGTGTCCAGAAGTGAATAAACAGTTTTTTTTTTGCATATAGAAAATTTAGTTCTGTATTCTTATCAGATGTTACTAACATTGCATATATGTTCTATATTCAGTGACAAGAGAAAAAATTTGATAAAAGTATTTATGGTAATATACAAGATTTATTAAATCATCTACAGTTGCCTAAGAAAAGTTTTTAGCCAGGAGAAATAAACTACATCCAATTTCAAAATTTAATTACATAATCCCTATTCATCATAAACAAAACAGTATTTGGAACTAGTATGGAGTAGGTCCTCCATTTGCTAGTTTCAGTGCTTGTATTCGATTTTTTCATGGATTTGATCAAGTTATCAACAATCATTTGAGCCATATTTTGCTCCTTCTTTAACAATGTCGCTTTAAGGGTTGCCATTGACGTGATTTTGGCTACACGCTCTCAAAGTCTTCAGTCAAGGTGCTCCCAAATGTGCTCTATTGGATTCATGTCAGGATTTTGGGCTACCCATAGCAGTGACTTGATTCCTTGCGATTCCTTCCAGGCTTTTGCTACTTTGCTCATATGACATGGTGCACCATCTTCTTGAAAAAGGTAGACATTCTTGCCAATCTGGTTTTGGTTTCAAATAGTGGGAGGAGTCCTTTCTCTAATATTTGACAGTATTTTGGACCATTCAACCACTCATCAACAAGAATCAGCTCAGATTTCCCTCCAAACCAGACAGCGTCCCACACCATTACTCCAATCCTTCCATGCTTCACTGTCGCCTACAGACATTCAGTGTTCCAAGCCTCATTCTGATTTCTCAAAACATAAACCTATCTCAAATTTGATTATTGGCAGAATTTACTTTCATCGGACCAAATTACAGACTGCCAAAATTCATAATCTTTGCTCTCGAATTCTCTTACCCAGTCTATATGAAGGTTCCTTTTAACCTCTGAAATCAAGGGCTTCTTTCTTGCAACTCTTCTTTGATAGCCTAGCTCTTTCAGAGTCTTTCTCACCTCATATAGCGACATTTCTATGCTGTTGGCAACATCTTTGACGCTCTGAGGGCAGTTTCTGATGACTTCCCTATTCAATGCCCTTTTCATTCATTCAGACATGATTCTTGGTCTTCCTGAATGTTCCACATGTCATGGCCACATGGCCTTCTTCATTAAATTTCTTGACAATATTATTAACCATTTGATGATTAACCTGGAAAAACCTAGCAATGTCTCTATTTGACTTGCCACACTGAATCTATCCTATTATTTACACTTGTTGAAATTCCCTAATTTTCTTACTTTCACAAACTTTCATTGCAAGATATAAGTCAACTATTGTTCATAGATGAGAGTAACTTTATACTAACACAGTATTGTCTGAAAAAACGGTTATTAAACAAGCCAAAATTGCTGTAATCAAGGGTGGCTAAAAACTTATCATATCCACTGTAGATTTTACAAAATAAGATATATCAACACTGAGTAAATAATGATTGAAAACTATTGGCTCCGAAAGATTTTACTGTTCATTCAACTGTTTCAAATGAGTAAGATCAATGGACACCATGGAAGAGATACAAGACCTCCTTAAAAATGACCATCATTTGTGGCATTGATTCACACCAATGGGCAGTACAAGTTGCTGACAGAGAAATACATCAAAATATAATCATTCAGAGTCTCTTTTTGAAAAAAGAAATACAAAACACAGTTTCAAGAACAGACAGAAGCAGACAATCTCTATTTTTGAGGAAAACCATAGAACCATTTTGGAATAAAACATAGCCCTAAAATCTGAATTTCATTAGAAAATTGTCCTCATCCTACTTCTCAAACCTTCACCTGCTACTACCATGTTAGATCAAGCCAACCAATACTGGTTACATCAACCATCAATGAGTTTCCATTAAAAGTAAAACACTTCCAATCACCAAAATAATGGGTTTGGTGCCTATATCGACAGGTTTCCCTGTGGCAGGGACACAAAAAATGATCCTGATCTCCCATATATGTGTTTCCATGTGGCACTTATTCATAGTACTACATTTGTCTTTGCCCTGTATCATCCTCAGGATGAAGGGTCAGTAATCTTCAATTGAATATCAGAGAGGATTGACAATATTCTCATCAAATTTCCCTCGGCCAAATTTCACATATGCTGTGACTTCAATGTTCACCACAAAGAGTGGTTAATCTATGAAAACCAATAAAGAAGATATTGCAGAAACTTCTCCATAGCATATGAACTAAACCAGATCATTGAAGAACCTACATGAATCCTTGATACAATGAGACAGCAGGCAAATCTGGGGGACACTTGCATTGACCACCAGGACCTCGGAGGACTGGCTGTTAATAATTACCTTCAGGAATTTACCTGTTAGGAAGGAATTTATAAAAGAGATAACCCTTCCAGTGATGCCATAGCTGGAAAACTTATGCAGCAAACTTTTGTGTCACACCTTGTCAAAGGCCTTTAAGATATCTAATATCTATCTTCAAGATATCTTTTCAGATCAACCATCTTTCCAATTTACATAAATGATCTACCTAAGAATATATGCTGATCATTTGTAAGCATCAACGCCAATGATATGATGATATACAAGTACACATCTAAAAGTCTTGGCAATCAGAAATTGGCAGCTGACCTCTCTTTTGATCTAACACTAACATCCCAGTGGGGAAAAAACTTGCTGGTTATATTCAATGTCTCTAAAACCAAACTGGTTACATTCCATCACTGCCAATCAGACCCCGAACTACCACCAGTCATGATGAACAGATGTCTCCACAAGGAGGCCCCA